ATATTAGTCCTGCTGTATGGCAGTGAATACTGGACAATCTTATCGCAGATAAAGAAGACACTTGAGGCAACAGGAATGTAGTTTTGCAGAAGGATGCTGAGAATTCCATAGAATAAACATAAAACAAAGATAAAGTTTCAGAGAAAAGCGAAACAAAAAGGACGTTTGAAATTAGAAAGAAAATGTTGATTATTTAGGGCACATAATGAGGAAAGAAGGCTTAGAGAACTTGACAGCCAGACTACATATTGAAGGCTGGAGGGGCAGAAGAGTGTAGCGTATAACCCATATAAAGGCCATGTGCAAATGGTTGGTACAACAAGGACAGGTGGGACAACAAAAAGACAAAAGTTACTAAGTGCTACAAAGGACAGGAAACTGTGAAGAGCCATGATCGGCCACGCTCTAAAGGACGCGGTAAAGAGAAGAAGAATTCGCTCAGAATGTATATTTAGACCCTTTATTCAATCAAATATAATGTTTAGACCCTTTCTGCCATGAGATTTAAACAGCCGTTTTCTAATGGTAATATTTGTTGTTGGCTAATTAATAGTCGAGGTTATGTTAGTGTGACCTTAGGTCATTGAATGCACGACAAGATAATCATCATCAATAAGACACTTGATTAAACGGTAGAAAAAGAAAATCAATAACTGTTTTCCCCAGACAGCTGTCAAATGATGAAGGAAAACAATTTTCGTTTTAGTAAATGTTTCCATCTCTTTGTTTGCCGGTAATAATTCATGTAAACTTCACGAAGCTGTTAATCGTAAAAATTAAGAACCATCTTCACCAGTTATTATTTTGCTCTTAAAAAAGAGATCTTTTGACATCAAAAGAATTTAAAGAAAACCTACTTAGAATACATCGGAGAACACTTCCACGAAAAAAGAGGACAGCCAAGAAATACCCAGAAATATCGTAAGACCAGAAATATTAAAAATAAAGCGGCAAGGCCAGACGGAATTGTAATAGAGATGCTAGCAGCATTAGATGATTTCGACAATGATGAGATTACAGTCATAATAAAGGAAATCTACAACTGTGGTGATATGCCCGAAGACCAAAGTACAGTGCTGTTCGATAAAAGTGACTCACCTGATTTTTTTTACTAAATGTTCTCTTCTCCGATGAAACAAAAGTTGAGCTAAATTCAAAGGATAAGCGATCTAAAATCCGAAGAAGAAGCTTTGAAAGCTCTTTGAATTTAGCAGGAAGTACTGTCAAGCATCCGTTCGGTATAATGTTCTGGGGGTGCTTTTCTTTTCATGGAACTGGTTTCTTAAAACCTATTGAAAAGACCCTCAGGAGCGAACAGTACAAGAGAATTTTAGAGTCTTGTCTGCTCCCTTCTATTGAAAGGGTGAAAATCGACCCCACCAAGCTCATTTTTATGCAAGATAATGCTCCCTGTCACAAATCAAAATTGATGGAGGTATACTTTGATGAGAAACAGGTGAGTATTATGACATGGTCTCCCCAATCTCCTGACCTCAATCCCATAGAAAACTTATGGAGCATTATAAAGTACAGGCTCTCGAGAAAGCAGTTGAGCAACAAAGAGGATTTGATTGTAAATTTCATGTTCGAATGGAATTCAATGCTTGGAGATGACATTTGCCAGAACCTAATCAAGTAAATGCTAAAAAGGGTTGAAAAGGTTATTCAAAATAAAGGAGGACCCATAGATTATTAAATATTTCGAACTATATTACCTATTATAAATAAATTATACCTCTATTATTCTTTATTTAAAGATCTTTGGTTATGTTCCTATTGACTACTAGTTGCAGGAAATAAGTGAGTCACTTTTTTTTGCATAGAGTTTTCGCCTAAATCTCATTTGTATCCAAAATTATAATTATCAATAGAATGCCTTGAGGTGAGTAATTTTTTTCACTAGGTGGTCGGGAAGGGATCTTTATATTAGTAAGATTAAAAATTAGTTTGACCCCAAAAACAATAGGCGAAAAAATGTTTAAGTAAAAAAAAATCAGGTGAGTCACTTTTATTGAACAGCATTGTATATCTACAGGGGTTGGACAAAATAATTGAAAAACTTGTTAAATTCAAAGAAAATTTATTTAATATGGAGTTGCTCCTCCTTTAGCCTCACAGACAGTTTTAATACGTCTAGGAATGGAATCATACAGCTTCCTGACTTCATCCAGAGGAATTTTCAGACATTCTTTCATTAAAACCTTCTCCAGCTCTTTACGATACGACGGTGGAGGATAGCGGCTCCTAACTTGTTGCTCCAAAATGCACCACAAATGTTCAATATTGATATCTTGAGATTGGGGAGGCCACTCCATGTGTTAACCACTCGAGCGGTATGTATTGGAGCATTATCGTCTTAGAAGATGCAGTCACCATCAGGGAATAAAGTCTTGGCCATTGATTCTACCATGCAGGGCAACTATTGGACTGAGACATTTCCATGATATGGCGACCTAAACTAACACTGTTCCACCTCTATGCTTCACTGTTGGATGAAGGCAGTCAGGGTTGTAAGCTTCTTTGGGCTGCCTCCACACATAAACTCGCCCTGAAGTTAGGAAAAGAGAAAAACTGGACTTGTTTGAGAATATGACTTGCTTCCATTGGTCTGCAGACCAGGCATTGGGATCTCTGCACCACTACAACCTCTTTTGAATGTTGCGAGTGGAAAGAAGAGTTTTTCTCACAGCGGATCTTCCATGATATGCAGCCTTATGGAGCTCACGGTGAACAGTTTTAGTAGAAACTGAACTATTCAGATGGTTATTCAACTCAGCAGTCACTTTGGCCGCATTTGTCCGATGATTTTTTTTTTTTGCCACATTGTGTTTCAATGCACATCAGTCACTGTCAGTAAGTTTGCAAGTCCGGCCCGAATTGCTACGGTTGCTAGAGGTTTTGCCCTGTTTCTCGAATTGCATCAGTGTTCTTGATATGGTATCTCTTGAAAAACCAAACAGTTTAGCAACCTTAGTGATCGAGGCTTCGGCCATGCGAGCTCCAACAATCTGCTCTTTTTCGAACTAGGAGAGGTCACGAATTTAGCTTAAAGTTTACTAAATTCTAAAAATAAATAAGACGAAGACAGTAAATTAGATAAATAAATGTATTTTTTTTATTTTTTCACTCAGGCCGCTGGTCCAAACTGGTCTTAGTTGGCCATAGCTTGTCCAGCTCATAAGCTAGTCATAGCTGGTCTTGGCTTGTCATAGCCAGTCCAAGCTAGTCGTAGCAGTGATAAAACAAGCACAGGGACGTAGCCCTGGGGCAGGTATGTAAGCCAGGTACCTACATTCTTATGTACAGATGTGGCAACCGTCACTTATTCAATGCCCAAAACTTAACAAAAATAATGTTTTATAATTAAAATCTTTATGCTACTATTATGAAGAAATATCGAATAATCTTTATTATTAAATTATATTTAATCCTTTTTGGAACTTTCAAAAGTTTGTTTTTCTTGCGTCATCGGGTGATCATAAATTAATATGGGTATTTTGATCGTTTTATTGCAGTGAAAAACACACTGATTAGGAAATTGTCGGGTTTTCATTCAAATTTCAGGAATTCAATTATTTTAGAAACTTCTTTTTTCTTTTTTTTTTTTAGAAAATCTTAATCCAAATAATTTTTACATCACACATATTTTATTTTATGAATTTTTCTCCCGCTCAATGTCTATACGAGTTAAAAGCAGAACTTCTTCGAAAACTTATATCATTTTTTTTTTTTTTTTTTGGACAAACAGGACCCCCAGTTACCGAAAATCTACTCTAAATCGAAAAATAAAAACTGCAATAAAACTACGACATTATTTGATTATAAATCTTTTAATTGCATTTATGAATAAGATATGTTATAGACATCATTATATTAAAAAAAATGTTAGATGAATAATGCATTTTTACAAGTATTTTTTTTCAAAATTTTAATTAAAGTAATTCATAAAGTTTTAAATCTTTTAAAATTCTGTATTTAATTGTAGCGCTTAGGCGATATTCTTAAGTAAAAACTATATTTACTAATCATAAATGAAAAAGGTTACAATTTAGCGAGGTCAGTATTTTAGAAAAAACATTTGAATATTTTAGTGTTCAAATACGTACGTCCATACACAAAATAGTATTTTACTTATTGGAAATATTCAATTTAATCTATTAGCTTGAAATTTAACTAAAATAAAAGTTTAAAGAAATATTTTTACGTGAAAATATATTTGGGAAGTTTATGAATCTATCTCTTCTCCCAACAGCTATGAGTAAATGACAGGAAAGACTGGGGCTCTATATCCTTTGTTGGCAACCAATGTAGGAGAATGAAAACTCTGAATTCAAGCTAGCCTGGAGAAAGTTGGTATCAGTGCTGTTCCTATAACTCTAATGAGTTACGACGATGAGATGATGAAGATTTAACACAAAATACATGAAAATTCTCTCTTCTCTGTAAACAAATCTTAAAGTACTTGTATGCAAAAGCAGGGAAGAACTGTGTGCATTAAAAAAATATTTCTAAATATTATGCTAATATTGAACAAAGAAGCCACTACAAACAATCAACCAAACATGAGTATAACATATGCTTTTTAGATTATAGCCATGACCCCTCTGGTCATCTTTCTCTTTAAATGTTGTCTTTTCTAAGCTCTCGCTACTGAGCACTGGTGATCTTGCAACGACCGTTGTATTGAATCACACGTTTAAGCCAAACATAGCTCAAATATTGTTTCTGGTTCTCCCACTAACCAAACACAAAGCCTGAATTCTTTTCACCTACTCTACGAAGCCAAAAGCAAAAAAAAAAAAAAAAGAACAAGGTTCGAGTCGATCACGTGTATATGAATCACTGCTTTCTATATTTCATTTATCAAGCTACTTCAGTTAAGATCACGATTTTTGCCAACACTCCCTCGAGACCGGGGACCCTGTTCGTATAAGATGTTCTAGATTTACAATAAACGTGTGCCCTTCTATGAACTGGGATTTCGTTATGTTGATCCAAGTTTACGATTTAATCTCTGAAGCAAATTGAATGTCAGTTTTCGCAAGGAATGTAGAAAAACGACGAACATTATTATAGCGAACAGAAGTGGACAAATTTGAAAGAAACCGCCATAAATGAACGATTTTCAAAACTGCAAGCAACCTAATGAATAGTAAAGGGGGGGTGGCGTTCTATAGGTGAATGATAGGGACATAAATATTTATTCTTATCTTCTGCATTTCGAAATTATAATAGAATTCTACTTTTTAGGCTTTTTAGTTTTCTCTTTTTTCTTTTGGTTTTCTTTGTAAAATTATGAACTGGAGTCTTGGCATTGTCAACATTTTGTTTTTAAATTGAAGAGTTACTGTACCAAACGCAAGAACCGGTATGACACAGTTATTTTCTTCAATTAAGATGTTTATTTCGTGAGGCACGTTTATTGTTTTAAAAATATTATTATATTACGATTATTTTGTCCCACGTTCATTAATTTATGCAAAAGTTCCCCCTGAACGCTTACTTAAACCGACATTTTTATTTTTTAAATTGAATTAGTTCTCCATTATTCCACTAGTATTTTGGACAAACTGTAGCAGAAATGGAATTTTCAAAGTGGATCTAGTAAATTTAAAATGATTTACATAGTGTCGCCTAAAAATTTAAAAATATCTCACGTAATTATTTCAGGCATTATTTAGATGATTATTCTCAGTTTTAATCTCACTCGTTGTGACCGATGTATTAAATGGTCTTTCTAGCATTACAGATGTCCCAGTGTTGATAGCAGACACAGATAGGAAACTACAAGACCTCCTACAGAATATAGTGAAAGAAAGCGAAAACAAAGTAACAGCCCAAAATGCAAATTACGAATTGGCCATACCGAACAATTACAACTATTTAAATATCTGGGAAGAGTTTTAACAGCTAACGAATGTGTGACACTGAAATCCGAAGGTTCGTTGAGATAGTGAAAGATGCCTTCCAAAGGCTAAGCAAAGAAACAGGAAAATTTCGTTAGAAACAAATAAAAGAATAGTGAACTCTTACGTTACATCAGTCCTCCTTTATGACAGTGAATGCTGGACAAAATTCATCACAGATGAAGAAGCGACTTGAAGCAACAGAAATATTGTTCTACAGAAAGATCTTGAGAAGAACCTGATCGGAACATGTGAGAAACAACGAAGTTCTAGAGACAATTTAGATTATGGGATGTTTTCCTTTCTCCACATCGCCGTCAATACATTCTGCGAGTGTAAAATTTTCCAAGCTTTCTTTCTTGATAATGTCCTCTAGAAATTTCAACTATCTATTTCGGATGTAGGATGCACGGTGGAGTAATGGATAGCAGCTCGGATTGAGTAACTGGTAGAATTCCAGTCGAATTCATTATAAATCCTCTTCTCCTCCCAGCTATGGGTAAATAGTAGAACAGACCGGGTTCTATAGCATTGGGTGGCAGCTGGTCAAGGCGAAGGACAACTCTGAATTCAAAACCTGATCCTCCAGGTTAGAGCTTGTGCAGTAGGCTAATAACCTGCTCACTTAAAAACTGGCTTGTTATAGAAATAGCAACGATATCTTGCGATACTATGTTTCTCAAAGAATTTAAAAGAGGCATTATATATATATATATATATATATATATATATATATATATATATGAGGAATCTAAATGAAAAATAATAAAAAAAAAACAAAGAATATTAATCTACAACCCAGTGTGTCTGAAGATTTTAATTTTTAATATTTTTTATTGTTCAATATATATATATATATATATATATATATATATATATATATATATATATATATATAAAGTGTGTTTTTTTTTGTTTCCATTTTCTATAAAACTTCGTAGTTGCTCACATGTTCGGTCCATGGTATATCAGCATGCTTCTGTCGAACTACATTTCTATTGCTTCAAATCTCTTATTACTTTGCTTAGCTTTTAGAAGGCATCTTTCTCTCTCCCAATATACCTTCGGATTTCGGTGTGAGGCATACCGACCTTTGTGAAAACAACTCCCATTTAATTAAATTGTTGAAATTGGCTTGATTTTCGGTCTTGTTTGTTTGTTATTTGCACGTTGGGCAGTTCTTTTTGCTGATAATCATTCTTTCTTCTTACATTTGATACTTAGTCTTTTCTTATCGCTTTCCTTCAAGACCTTATCTGGAAGTTCTTGTTAAGATTTTGGACGATTTAAAGCTAGTTTTTCCCAATGCTGCACATCCACGTACAATATATTTAGATTATCCTAGAGATTATCTTTAAAACTTTCCTAGGCTTATGCTGTGAATTTTTCCTGTTTTACATTCCCCGTAGAGAAATTATTTTGGAATCCTGTTATTCACAGTTCTCACAACGTTTCCTTCCCAATCGCATCAGCTTCAGACTTTTTTACTGTTTGAATTCTGTTGCATTTAGATTTTAGGGGGACAAAACTGTCAGGAATCAAAGACTACCATTGAATGTTAAGGATACACACCAGGCATTGTTGCTGGAATCGCTCAAGCCAATTTTATATGTCTGCGGTTTTTTACTCTTATTTCAGAAGAGTGCAGCAGGGGAGATAAGACACAGACTGTATGAACACTTACTTTCATCTTGATGGTAATGTCCCTTGCTAACCAAACTCTACTTTGCAATTTACCTAAAGTAACACTTGCTGTTTGAATGCGTGGAAAAATATCTGCATTCATGACGCTGTCCATTGATATATATATATATATATATATATATATATATATATATATATATATATATATATATATATATATATATATATGATAGATAGATTTAAAGTAAAAACACTCACACCAGTCGAAAGAAAGTCTGTCATGGATGACGTAAATGAATGGACAGAGAAAGAGATGTCTCTAGCATCTTTGTTGGTATAACTTTTATAATTTTTTTTTCTTCTCCCTGTCCATTCATTCACGTCATCCATGACAGATTTTTATTTTTTTCTCTCTCTTCATAACTTGTGTTCCCCGTTAACTGTTCTGATGAGAGGGGACGAAACCGGTCGACTGGTGTGTGTGTGTTTTTATTTTAAATATATCATGGCCTATAATAAAAAAAATTCTTGCTTTTTATGCCATAATACGTTTTTGTACTGTTTCAAACACACACACACACACACATATATATATATATATATAGATAGATAGATAGATAGATAGATAGATAGATAGATAGATAGATAGATAGATAGATATAGATATATATATAGATATATATATATAGATATATGCATACATACATTTCAATAGACGAAGATAGATAGATAGATAGATAGATAGATAGATAGATAGATAGATTTGAACAAAAGGGGAAGTGTACATATATAACGGAGGGAGATGCACATATAAACTCAGTTGTGATCTTGTGAACTAAAAGAAATTATTCTTTTCTTATAAGAAAAATATTGTATTTTACTGTCTCTCTTCTGCTGAGCATAAATATATACACACACAAAAACTCATACATAATCATAGATAGATAGATAGATAGATTGATAGATTGATGCATGCATATGAATAGACAGAGATAAATATGAATACACTGGGATAGATAGATAGATAGATAGATAGATAGATAGATAGATAGATGCATATGAATAGACAGAGATAAATATGAATACACTGAGATAGATAGATAGATAGATAGATAGATAGATATAGATATATATATAGATATATATATATAGATATATACATACATTTCAATAGACGAAGATAGATAGATAGATAGATAGATAGATAGATAGATAGATAGATAGATAGATAGATAGATAGATAGATTTGAACAAAAGGGGAAGTGTACATATATAACGGAGGGAGATGCACATATAAACTCAGTTGTGATCTTGTGAACTAAAAGAAATTATTCTTTCTTATAAGAAAAATATTGTATTTTACTGTCTCTCTTCTGCTGAGCATAAATATATATACACACAAAAAACTCATACATAATCATAGATAGATAGATAGATAGATTGATAGATTGATGCATGCATATGAATAGACAGAGATAAATATGAATACACTGGGATAGATAGATAGATAGATAGATAGATAGATGATAGATAGATAGATAGATAGAGATAGATGAATAGACAGAGATAAATATGAATACACTGAGATAGATAGATAGATAGATAGATAGATAGATAGATAGATAGATAGATAGATAGATAGATAGATAGATAGATAGATTGAACTCTACAATATTTATGGGTAAGAGTAAATTGTATCGACAATAGTGTGTTTATATATATATATATATATATATATATATATATATATATATATATAGTAGTTAAATTCCCAGATGAATTCTGTGGACAAGGCAGATTGGTATCTGTATTGGTATATTAGATTATATGATATATATATATATATATATATATATATATATATATATATATATATATGTATATGTATACTAGTGTCCCAAAAATGTGCTTATTTTGAGTTCCTATCAATTCTTTAATTTTCATTTGTTGTTCAGATCCAGTTCAACATAATAATGAGTTGAGTGCGACTGAGATTTGAAGAAAGAACATTTGTCATGAAGTGTCACTGGAAGCACGAAAACATCAAAGAAGTGCAAAGACAATCTAGATGGCAGTTTCGCCGAGGTCCATCAACAAGATGCAACATTGATCGCATCAGAAGTAAGTTTGTTCACGACGTCCATAATCAATATTCAAGAAGAACACGGCCATCTACTAAACTCGAATACAGTGAGCAATTGCTACAAACTATTATCCGATCTCTAAAATATCTGTTCGACAAATGATGAGGTTCAGCTTGAATATTTAGAAACATGCATTTAATTTCATTTAATATCGTCTTTACTCCGTTAATCCACTTTGTACGTCAATAAGCTTTAACATTTCTTAATTTTAACCATTAAAGTAACCGAAGATACTGAGCTTCGACTCAAGAAGTACAATCATAGTAATGAAACATTAAAGCTTTTGTGTAAACATTTCAAAATGTT